GTCTTATTTGAGTAAAAGTTTTTTCTTCCCGATTTATAAAAAAAATCCTTACGTGATAGAAAAAATTAATATTATTTTCGAAATCTGCGTAGCTGAATTATAGAATATCCATTATTAAAACCAAACAACTTTTATGAAGTTTAAATTCGCAGGCCTGTGTTATTAGTTTTGCTAAGCAGTACTGATGAGCTATAATTTCTGCAAATCTAGACTGCTGCAACAGAAAAGTGCATGAACTAATAGCTTAAGCCGCTACATCATCCTTGATAATAGCTTAAGCCGCTACATCATCCTTGATAATAGCTTAAGCCGCTACATCATCCTTGATAATAGCTTAATCCGCTACATCATCCTTGATAATAGCTTAGGCCGCTACATCATCCTTGATAATAGCTTAAGCCGCTACATCATCCTTGATAATAGCTTAAGCCGCTACATCATCACTACATTTCACGTTTTAATGAGGAAATGAAATTTACAAATAAATAAACATAACAAGTTATTAGCATTTTTCTTTAGCGAATTTTTAGCAGTTAAATAGATTGAAAGGCAAGATAATCAGATATGATATATGTATAAAATAACCATTTCGATAACAGTGTTTCCCCTTCGATGCATAAAATAGTTTGGTGAAAAGCAAGCAAAAAAAAAACGAGCATAATTAGTAAATGTGAAGCTAATTCAAATTCATTAAAAGTTAAAGGTTGAAGTTCAAGAAGTCCAACTAATTAAATGATGGAGGTTTTAACCTTGTAATATTCATATTACTTGGATTAGAGAAAAAAATAAACCTCTTTAATGATAGTAACAGAAATATTGTAACTTTTAAAGGTTTTTTTTTTTACAACAAATACCTTACTGCAGTGGCGTCACTACAAAATATGAGGTCCTCCGCATAAAAATTAATTGGGCCACCTCATTTATTTCCCTATAATTGTAGTTACGATTCCGGCTGATTGATATTTTTAACTTAATAGAATAGTGCAACCACTCTTTAGTTCAAACAAATTAAATGTCTTTACCGTTGTCGGGCTCTTCGCCCCTCCATCAGTCCCCGCAATTGTGGGAGCATACTTACGCCATTGCTTATTGGATTTACAAATCAAAAATTATTCAACATCTCTGGTTTTCAACTATAAGGCATGCATACATATGTAACATCTTGTCCGTATATTATCGACATAAAAATATAAAATCCCTTTATTGTTAGTTTGTGTAATATTCCATCGCAATAAGACTGACTTTTTTATTTACTAGCCATGTAAAGGTTTCCAGTAGGAAGAACACGTAATAGAATTTCATTTGAACAACTTGCATGGTGCTATCGACAGGACCTTTCACTTAACACCAAAGTTTATGATGGACTTACAACATATAACCATTTATATCAGTGATTTATGAGATATCAAATCATTTATAACATTTCTGACCTGTCAATGAATGATAACAAAAGATGTGTGGATCAATAAGCATGATTGCACATTATAATACGAGCAAAAATATTGTTTGTAAGTCTAAATAGTCCAAAAGAATTTATCTTATAATCATAAGTTCAACAATAGCCCATACAATCCTATGGTTTAGTGACTAATATTATACTTAAAGTGTCGTGACATACGCCATACACGTTTTTTTTTTCTTTCAGGTTTGTGTTTCATTTTTAGGTCTTTTTTTTCAAGATAATATAAAAAATGTAAATACTTGAGTGATAAAAACTGTTTAGTTATCTGTATTATAAAGCGCAAGGAAATTGGATTCTTTGGTTACTTTTTTTTTCGTTTACGTCAGCATTTCCCAAAGTATTGGGCGCAGCCTCCAGGGGTGGGGTGGGGTGGGGGCGCAAAGGATCTCTTGGGGAGGCGCGAGCGATTTCATATAGTCAATAGTGCTATAATGCAAAATTAAGCGTTGTAATATATCTGTATTAATAAAAATATTAAGTAACTACTACAACACACATAATATTTTAATGTGTATCCTTGTATTATATCTCGTCAGTTATCTCGCTCTTTTGCTCATTTAACAAAGAGGGAGCGCGCAAGAAACCATATTTATTAAGAGGGGAAGAGTTGTTGACAAAAGTTCGAGAAACGCTGGTTTATGTGGTAAATCATCTTGAAGAAATGGTCACGTTTGCTTGTGTATCGAGTCTAACGAACGTCTTTTCTTTTCCAGTGCCTCGTTTGGATTTTTTCTTTTACTGCTGGTTTTAGCTTCCACACGTCTGGAGGGGTCAGAGCGGTCAAAGCAGAATATTCGTGGACCTCCTCCCTCCTTGATCGAGTGGTTGGTTTTCTTTTGGGTCACAGGTAAGGTGACGGGTCTTTTACATTTTATGATATTAACTTATTATTAAATATAAATATTGATATAAAAATTTTCAACCTTAGTATAAATTTTGCTTGTTCACCACCAGATAATTTTTCTCGCCGATCACAGCCCTCTCTGTAAAATTGGACTGGGGGATCCGAAAGTTTCGTGTTCGAGTGCGACCAAAACACTTCACACTTTTAGCTGTTGGTGCGTTAGACTAGAAGTCAATTCCGCTCTACGGTTAAGAGTAACCGCTTCAGACGGTTATTGCTGACGACCAATTGCCTTCCCTCTGGTCTGTAGTTCAAAATTAAGGACGACTTTGCCTGAACTATAAGTATCTTTGAATGGTTGAGAAACACTGGTCTAAAATATTTCATAGTCGTAGTCACTTAATATCGTTCAACTTCCAAGGCCATCACTTGTATAATCTCTTTGTGTATAAAAAACCGGAACACTTGGGTGAAACCTGGAATATTTTCACATTGGTATAAATACCCATACGATGACAATTATCTTTACACAATTAACGATACATCCTGATGTGTGTTTCTGAGGTGGCCAAACATTGCTAGCGAGTAGTTTCAACTATATCATAGTTGTTATTGGATTTCACTCAACAAAGAACCACTTAATGTTTCGAACACATTTGGAGGTTTGCAGGCTGTTTAAGAACTTGATTTATAATTTCTTTTCTTTTTTTTCGAAAATGGCTGTTAGCATCTTCATAACATCCTAAACAATATAATGAATCTGTTTCTACTTTCTAAAATTATATTACTTTATCGCTTAGTTAACATAATAATATTGGTATTTCTTGGTATTTTCAACCTGACCCCTCATTGGCTCAGCGGTAAGTCAGCAGGCTTACGACACTAAAATTTGGTTTCGATACCCGTGGTGACTAGAACACAGATGGCCCATTGTGTAGCATTGCGCTTAACAACAATCAAAACCAAACCAAATTTTCAATTTGAACGCCATTTTATGCAAACATAGATTCAATTGTCAGGTCAAAGACTACTTGGTTTTAGGTTACAGCCGTCCATAATTTTGAATTACTGACAATTAGAAGGGTAGCCAGTCAGCAGCAACCGCCGATTCCCCACAAAAATTACTGGAAACAAGTAAATTTGGCTGAGAGTTCAAACAGTTTAAATTTACAGTTGGTCTGGGGATATCTTACTGGTTAGAATGTTCGAGTGTAAATCCGTGGGTCCATTGTTCGCGTCCCGTTGCTACAAAATCGCACTTCGCTCTTTAGGGGCCATGAGTGCGTTATAAGAGTGGTAATTGAATCTAATTATTCGATTACAGTAGCCCGAAAGTAGGTGATGAATACTGTACCTTCCTTCAGGTCTATCAGTTCAAGATTAGGGACGACTAATGCAGATAACTCTTGTGTAGCTTTGCACGAATATCCGAAATAGTTTGGAGTCTAATACACCATTCATTTTACTTTTATTATTTTGAGTACTTACATTTGCATATTGCGAGTTTATAGTAACACCTTCGTAAAACATGGAAGTTATCAACTTAACTTCAAAACATCTTAGAGAATTTAATGATGCATTTTAACATGAAGTAAAAATTAATCAGATTTTTACTAAAGTCGTAAATGAATCATGTTATTATAGATGAAATGGGCTGAGAATTTTACCAACTTTTTATTTACATGTATAATTATAACAGTAAATACAGCGTTGCATTAACAGTATTATTCTAGATTATTAAGACACTTTTTTCTGGATATTGTTATTAAGAGGAAACAGTTTTAAAGTTTGACATTAAATAAGTAAACAAATATGTTCTATATGAGAGAAATCCACATTGGACCATCATTGTATGTGATAGTGAGATTTTCAATAACCTTGGATTATTTGTTATTTTGAAATTTCTTACAAAGTTTTCCAACGAGTTTAACTTACCAATTAATATCAGCATGTTTTTCTTTGTTTTTGTTATTGTAACTCAGGCAGTAAGTTACATTGCGAATGCTTTCAATGGTTCTAAAACCTGTAACTTCTACAAAACTCAAAATAGTGAATTTAAAAAACAGTTTATTCTCTCCTTCACGATGCGAAATAGACTGGATAACATTTAATGATGTTAAATTATACATTCACTTGTTTACTAAATTGTGAAAACACAAAATATGTACATATAAATAATCAAAGCACCACCAGGTTTGAAATATCGTATATTTTTATTATATTATGATTTCAGTAAGTTGGTAGCACTTTCACGGCTTTAACACTGCTCTTCCGCCAATGTCTCACTCTCTTTATGGTGCTAGACGTACAGGAGGCTATTAAAGTCTTACATCAGCTTGGAAACGTAGTAATAGCTGATCCATTACAACTTAACACTAAAGATAAGGTTTATACTCTGCATATTTTGTGAATAATATTTTCAAATTATCCAGAGTTAGTCAAGAACAACGCCTTCCTCTTATTTGATATTGGCATATATATATATATATATATATAATATAAGTTAATCAGTAGTTCTAATACTGTAAGTTATATTAATTGTATATAAGCGATCAAATCAGCACTATAAAACAATGATAAAATTAATAAAAATCAAAGCTATACGTTCAGTATGAGACTAAAACAAATCGAAAACTTGTCCATTGCCAATCATCGTCGTTACTATTAACTCATAACAGAAACACATTGTTCTTGACTAACTCGGGATAATTTGACAATATTATTCACGATGTTTTTTTCTACTCAACGCTGTTAACAACGAACAATTCGTCGATCTAAATGTTTGAACGAGCGGGAATTCTTACCAAAAACATGTTGTGGCTTATGATACTATACACTTGACAACAGTGTTAGTCTTATAAGTCATAGAATATGCGCAGTAAAAACATTAACGGGGAGTTCTTAAAATTAATGGCATCTTATCAGACCAGGTTAGCTTACCCACAGTTCAGCCGCTAAAAAAAAATATAAATTTTTAACCAAGTGTTTCATATCGCAGCTCAACTCTAGAATCTTCTGTTCTGCTAACCGCTTGGCATGACCGACCCGCAAATAAAATGGCTTTATTGCTTTAATATTCAGGTCCAATTTCACTTTCAAGCCATTGTTTAATTCACAGTTTTTACAGTATTTCCTGTTTATTCACTCAAAAACTCAGCTATGGATATAATGATATATGTTTGTTTATTTTTTTCTTTTAAAAAGCAACATTTACGTCGACGTAGTGTTCCAGATAATTTTTTCAGATTTTGTTATGAACACAACCTTTATGGTCAGTTTCTATAGTAAAGAAGAACGTTGATGAACCTGTAATTATCAGTTTCTGTTTACACTCTAGGGATGGTTTGGGCGGAGTGCAAACAACTGTGGGAGGAAGGAATCAAGGCCTATGTCCGACAGTGGTGGAACTGGTTAGACTTTATCATGCTATCTCTCTTCCTTACCGCTTTCTCCCTCAGGGCAATGTCCTTCTTCCTGATCCAAAGCGAACAGTATGGACCTCGAATACTGGAACGTGCTCGCTGGCCCAACAATGATCCCACTCTCATTGCTGAAGGCGTGTTTGCCATGGCTAACGTTTTTAGCTTCGCAAGGATTATCTACCTGTTCCAGACTAACCCTCATCTCGGACCTCTACAAATCTCTCTAGGATGTATGATCATTGACATCGCCAAGTTTCTTTTCATCTTCTTTTTAGTACTGACGTCTTTCGCCTGTGGTCTGAATCAGCTCTACTGGTACTATGATACTGACAGCGAAATTTGTGACACTAAAGTGATCGGTGGTGAGAACGTCACTGTTAATTGTCAGCGCAATACAGATGCCTTCATAACGTAAGTTCAAATTTCTAACTTTCTCAACGAAGTAATCTAGCATATTTTGCCAATAAAGTTATAAAAAAAAGGCCTTAACTCTCCAGATATTAATAAAAAAAATTATTTCAGCCAAGGTTTTACCACTGTTGCTTCATCAGGGCTAGTAGTACAAGAACTCTATGACTTGATTGAAGTTAATCGATTTTCGGCCTGTACAAATACACATACTTCGGAGTGAACTCGTTTTTTTTTTTTTCTCGTTATTAGCCATTACTGATTAGAAGTTGTTGTAGGATTTAGCTAAACTTAGGTAAAGCTACGAATATTATGAAACAAGCTCTTATAAATGAAAATGGCGTATAGAAGTTTGTCAAATTCTTAAAAATAATACTGTCCAATGATTAAAAGAGAAAAGTCGGTTACTGAAACAACCAGACTCGAGAGATTTATTTCTTACTGGTGATTCGGTTTTTGTTTTACCTATGTTAAATAATGTTCCTCATCTACAAAGCTAGAATTATATGCACTTTAATATCACGCATTGCCTAGCTAATGGAAAATGTAGTTATTCTAATATATTCTAAGCATATTGTATTTGATCATAGTATTGAAATAGCTTTATAATTATTAATTATTTATGTTCATCATAAAAATGATAACTTTTTACGGCAATATTTAAAATGAGTATTAGATAATTTATATGATGTATTTATTCATTGCCTATATTAGTATTTGTTTTCTTTTACATAACAACTTAAATCTCTGATCCTTTTAGTAACTTTCTGCACCTACTGACTCTTTCAGTAACTATCTTCACCCACTGACTCTTTCAGTAACTATCTTCACCCACTGACTCTTTCAGTAACTATCTACATCTACTGACTCTTTCAGTAACTATCTACATCTACTGACTCTTTCAGTAACTATCTACACCCTCTGACTCTTTCAGTAACTATCTTCACCCACTGACTCTTTCAGTAACTATCTACATCTACTGACTCTTTCAGTAACTATCTACATCTACTGACTCTTTCAGTAACTATCTGCACCTACTGACTCTTTCAGTAACTATCTGTACCTACTAACTATTTCAATAACTATCTACATCTACTGACTCTTTAGTAACTATCTACATCTACCGACTCTTTCAGTAACTATCTGCACCTACTGACTCTTTCAGTAACTATCTGCACTCACTAACTCTTTCAGTAACTATCTGTACCTACTGACTCTTTCAGTAACTATCTGTACCTACTGACTCTTTCAATAACTATCTGTACCTACTGACTCTTTCAATAACTATCACTGCGGCTAGAATCTCGTCTCTGTCGGTATTTCTAGTCTATATCAATCACGATTTCTACCTTTTCAGGATGTATCAGTTTTCTTCTGCAGTGTTCAGTGTTTCAGATTTTACTGTTACTTCTTTTTTTCAGCACTTTATGTTTAAAACTAAACCTGTACTTTCTTTTCTTTTCTGATATCTCGGTCATTCTCTTTCTCTTACTCTACGTTAATTATCATTTTAAAAAATTTCCGTCATTGGGCCATAATGTAAGAACTTGTTTGGATTTACTTTCAATTTTTTCTATCTTCGTTACTTTTAATAGCCGCGTTTCTTTCTGCTGTGTTTCTTGCACGCGCTTTCTTTTCTCCCTTCTCTGTTTATGCTAACTTTCTATATTCTTTTTTACCTGTCTTCCTTTCTTTATTAGCTTTTATTATCTCCTTCGCTTTCTCTTAGACTACCTGAACACTGATTGTGATTATTCTACAAGATAACTTTGGAAGTTCATCTTCTAAGCTCTATCATGTTCTATTCCTTCTTTGTTACTTTGTTTTCTCATTCTAGTTCAAATGTTTTGAAATTTAAGTTAAAAAAATGCTGCTATGTATTTTCTTTTCGAAAAAGTACTTCTTCGCTGGAACTAACTGGACAACATGGATGGTAATATATAACCAACCTTTGGGTTTTCAAAGTATAATAACTCGTAGCAGAATAGAAGGTACTGTGGGTTTTTGTTGAATAATGAACAAAACTGTACATTTGATTATAGTGGTGAATTAATTGGCAACAAGTAAAGGATTTAATTTTTACAATATTCCTTTGTCATTTTGCAGTATTCTGATATCCATCTCCAGTGACTCAGCGTTAAGTGTGAGGGCTTATAGTACCAAAATTTGGGTTTGATCCCTGTGGTGGGCACAGTGCAGGTAGTCCACTGTACATTTTTGCATTTAAACCAACAAACGTATTTTCTGGAATCTTTTAGGTTTTTTGTTCTTCAACAGGCCAAACCTTTGTTTTTCACTCAGTCTCTGCTGTCTTTTTTTTTAATTCTCTTTAATTTAATTTTCTGTTATTCCTTTTTGTCTTTAAAGCCCAAGTTTATCTCTCACTTGTTTTGTTTTTCTTCTATGATAATACTTGGTGATCTCTACAAACTCTTTTTCTGTTATTCGTTTTTCAGCCTCAAATCATAAAGCCCTCTAGAGGGTAAGATATAGACAATATTCAGTTATTTATTTTTACCAGTGTTATTTCTCATCTCACTGGTTTTAACCTTTATAAAGAGTGATTACACGCGAGAGTGCATTACAAATCTCACCTGATTAAATCTGTCTTTCATACAGTTAAATGCGCAGTTAAGAGCCTCGATGAAAATTTCGTTGCAATATACCAGGGCTGGTCCAAAAATTCAGATGAACAACCTAGCTCATAAATTACTAGACCCTTCGATAATATTATGCGGGTGAGCATGCATCTTGAGAATGTTTGGCTACTCTTAACAATAAAATATGAAACTTTATTTTCGTTAGATCAAAAACGCATGACTCTTCAAACACAGATACAGACGTGTGCTCAGTGATTCTAGAAATATATAACACTGAATGAGGATAAGTAATATTGGGGCAACGGGGGAAAAATGAAGTGCTGTGCTCAGTGATTCTAGAAATATATAACACTGAATGAGGATAAGTAATATTGGGGCAACGGGGGGAAAATGAAGTGCTGTGTTTAGTGGTTCTAGAAACATATAACACTGAATGAGGATATGTAATACTGGGGCACAGGGGGAAAAATGAAGTGTTGTGTTTAATGGTTCTAGAAATATATAACACTGAATGAGGATAAGTAATACTGGGGCAACGGTCAAAAAATGAAGTGCCGTGTTTAGTGGTTCTAGAAATATATAATACTGAATGAGGATAAGTAATACTGGGGCACAGGGGAAAAAATGAAGTGTTGTGTTTAGTGGTTCTAGAAATATATAACACTGAATGAGGATAAGTAATACTGGGGCAACGGTCAAAAAATGAAGTGCTGTGTTTAGTGGTTCTAGAAATATATAATACTGAATGAGGATAAGTAATACTGGGGCACAGGGGGAAAAATGAAGTGTTGTGTTTAGCGGTTCTAGAAATATATAATACTGAATGAGGATAAGTAATACTGGGGCACAGGGGGAAAAATGAAGTGTTGTATTTAGTGGTTCTAGAAATATATAATACTGAATGAGGATAAGTAATATTGGGGCAAAGGGAAAAAATGAAGTGCTGTGTTTAGTGGCTCTAGAAATATATAACACTGAATGAGGATAAGTAATAGTGTGGCAACGGGGAAAAATGAAGTGTTGTGTTTAGTGTTCTACATCAACAATTCTGTCTCCAGGCTGCCAGCCCACAAAGTTTTTGTCAAATGGTTTCGAAATTCGATAAGAAACTTTTCCTCGTGCCACTAAGTTACAAGCATGTTGGTTGGTTGTGGAAAATGTGTGCTGAGTTTCAATTATCCGTCAAAGAAAACATATGAATTGAGATTACTGTATTTATTACCGCAAGTCTGTTTACACAAAGGGCTGTTTGCGATGTGTCCGCCGTGCAGATTGAACTCTAAATTTTATTGTTATAAGCCTTGAAGCTTACCGCTGAGTCACCGAGGGAGGATTATCATATGAAATATTGGTACTAGTATTTTCAACCTGACAGCATCTACGTGATGCATGGACGAAGCGATCACGTCAGAGACCGCAAGTTCAGGTATAGCTGTCCTTTCATTTACAACTGTCGAACAGAAGGTGTGAAACCAAGTCAGCAGCATCCGCCTCCTACACGGCTGCTCTTAGCGATTAGTAGAACTAACTGTCAGTTTGATAATGTGCTCACAGTAGAAACTGTGGAGAGTTCTCAGCGCTATATGGCTGGCTCGAACCTAGGAGCTTCGGATTCGCAGCCCAGCACGCTAACCACTCGGCTCTTTCAATAAACCTTGTAACTATTTCGATAAAAAAAACTCCTCGTCCCTTCAAAATATTACACACTTCGATCAAGTATTATGAGTAGATGGCACCTACCGATATCCAAGCGAGTTCAAAAGAAATTGCGATTTAAAACTACCACCACTCGACTGTGAGATCTCAAAATAAGATAAGTGTTGAGATAACTGTTCTTTACGCCACTATGCTAAAATAAGATAAGTGTTGAAATAACTGTTCTTTACGCCACTATGCTAAAATAAGATAAGTGTTGAGGTAAATGTTTTTATGTCACTATGTTACTTGGCCCGTCAACAGACTGTAATAAAAGATAGGTTTACCTTACGTTTTAAGTACCAGGAATGAGAGTTGTGTCACCGAGTTCATATCAACGAGACTTCTCATGTATAACTGATTAATTTTGAGATAAATATACTAGTATATCCATCTTTATACACTGATACCATCTGGTGACGTATTGAGAGTTTGTGATTAAGTTGAAAGGAAGAAAATGTAATATTGGCTCGAAAATAATTTAAGATATACCTTAACTAATGAAGTTGTCATTTATTTTAGGGATAACTGCTTCTTGTAATGTTTAAGGGCTACAAATCTTTAGTTTTAGTGTGAAACGGATATAGGTCTAGTGATACCTTAATTATATTATAGAAAGTTAATATTTACAAGTGAAAAGATATTGATTATCAAATTAAGCTTTCAATCATCTCTCTTAACTCGTGACCAACCGTTCATAGTCTCACGGAGATTAAACAAATTATAAATAGTGAAATGTGGTTGAATTTATTATTACGAAAAAAATTCAGTCGACAGTAGTAGTTATACATAAATTACTATTTGTTTCTCACAAAAATGGTATGATTTATCACTAGGTAACTGTTTGTTTGTTCTTCAGTTTATCATTGACATCACGTTTATGAGATATTTCGAATATATTAATTAGAAAAGTAAATATATTATGTCATTACTTCAGCAGTAAATTATTTATTTTAAGATTAGCTAAGTTATTGTTTAAGTTAAACATTGTTCATTTAAACTACAATTTTTGTCATAATTCTGTCGTTCTATTTTGTTTTTTAACCCTAAACCATTTTCAGAACTGGTTAAGTTCCTCTGTTCACCATTAAGACTAGATAGTACTAGCTCTTGGAGATTAAAAAAAATCAATATTGTATGAAATTTGTAAATTATATGTCGCTTATAAAGTGTTTAATGCGTGGATATTAATTTCGTAATATCACGGCTTTGTTTGAGCAACCTTTACACAAAATCGCTTTCACACAAAAGTAACACATTTCATGAGTTTCACTGAATTAAACAAAAAACAAAGATTTTGTCAATTAGAATATTTTATTATTGGAAATTGGATTTCTCTGGAAGCATCAAATACCCATTTCCACCGGAGAAAGAAATGGTTTCATCTTGAAGAAATGTGATTTGAACATTTTTTTTAAATGTAAGATGTACGATTTCGTTATGTGATGAAATGGTATTTATGCACTTATGACAACTAAATTTCTAGGTTCACTCCTAGTTCTTTATGTAGTTATAATTATTAAGTGCTAAGGTTATTTGTAAAGTTCGACATCGAAAGACAGCGTAGGTGTTGTAGTCATTACTTACTTGTTTAATACTTTATTATGTAACTGTGTCCATTCCATTTCACAACCAACCTTACTTGTTATCTTTATCCATCACAGCATAGACTCCAGCTACACAACGTTGTTGTGGTCTTTATTTGGTGTAATTCCTATCAAGGACCTGAAAGCCAGAGAGGATCAAGCCTTTACCAAGTGGGTGGGACAAGCTCTCTTGGGAGCTTATATGATCATGGCTATGACGGTTATGATTAACATGCTGATTGCAATGATGAGTCGCTCCTTTCAAGATATAGAGGTAAAGACGTCTAGTGTGCCTGTTGTGATCACTGTTGGAAGTCATACAGAACAGTAGTTGGATGTTCAGATTCATTGTTTAACACGTTCAGTACTTTCTATCAGACACAGTTTGTAAAGTTCAGTCTCATTAACCAGGCATGCGCATTTGAAGCTGCGATAATTCTGCTTTTATCTTGAGCACTGTTTTGCGCCCAACAGTTATTTTGATTTTTTTACAACTTCCAAAACTGATCGCATCAAGTGGTAAACTCACTCTTATTCGTTTCCAGGGCAGGGACTTGAACAAGACAGCTTTGGAAAAGTAAAAATGTTAATTGATGGGGATAACTTATTAACAAAGTTCTGTTGTTTCTCCCCTCGCTGCTCAGGACCGGGAACACGTTCGGCACTCTCTTCTGGTCACTTTTCGGCGTTACTTACCCGGCCAGCACCGAGCTCATCGAGGACCACGCGCAAGTCGAGATGGTGGGGCAAGGGTTGTTCATGGCCTATCACGTCACTGCCATCATTCTCCTTATAAACATGTTAATAGCCATGATGACCAAGTCCTTCCAGGTGATTGAGGTACGATCCCCGGGTCATTGACCCTGTTATTCCTTTTGTTCGCCATAGCTTCTCCTCGTGGTCACTGGTCTAGCTACGCAACCTACTTCTTTAGAGTTCGCAAAATTGGCGTCACTTATTGTCTCTTAATCAACAACTATGCACATTTTATTGTCTATCTAAGTAAAATTGGCGTCACTTATTGTCTCTTAATCAACAACTATGCACATTTTATTGTCTATCTAAATAAAATTTTCAGAAATTATTATAGATTGTAAACACCTAGACCTCATGAACATTAACAAAAAATCTGTTTATGCTTGACTTCTCCGTAACTGAAAAAGCAGGTATTGAGCGACAAAAATCACGCACACCACCATGATTTCTCCAATTCGTGCCCTAACCGCTCAAAAGTTGCACCGTTAATATCACAACACGCAACAGCAGGATTACTTCCATATAATTATGCAAGGCTAGTTACATCCCAACCAATTATAGTAACAAAAGAAAAAACAGTTGGTGTAACTGAAACATAACTTGAGAGCAAGGACGAGACTTAGAAGTATCATGGTGGTACGCGACTTTTGATTCACTCGATATAATGAACCTTGTTTATTTATGAAGTTTAGGACAGGCAATATTTGTTTTAGCTGTTACATCACATAACTAGAGGGCACTCAGTAAAGCGCATACCGCCGCCACGCAGCGTTGATCATATTCGGCTCTCAAAAAATACGAAAATGTGTCCGTATGTCCGTCGTTATCAACGGACACCAACCGTTTTTGGCAGGATAATGAGGAATAATATTCTACATAAGTCCACCAAGTTTCATCAAAATCCGATCATTTTTGACTGAATTATAGAGTAAAAATAATGTGAAAAAGCGGTCCCCAGATAGAGATTTTTTTTCGTGACCTTGCTGTGGTCTTCACCCTTCAAAAACTAATCACTTCTAAGTTTGTTCATATTCCAAACGTATATGAACTTTCGTCCAAATCCATTCAGCCGTTTCAAGAAATCTTGCTGACAAATACACAGGGATGAAAACATTACCTCCTTCCTCCTTCGTAATTATATATAACTTACAAAATCTGAAAATAAATCACTTACATTAAGTTTTAAAAAACAATTTTTGGAACCCAACCAAAAATCATATAATTTGTGGTTTTCTTATCAACATACTGAAAATGAAATTAATAAATTACTTTACTTTTATATTTAAAAATATGCAAATCAATGATTTAACGACAGAAGGTCTTGACTTTAGAATTTAAAAAACTATTAGCCTGTAATTTTTTTGTATTTTTTTCTGATATTCGCTCTAAACTATTTAAGGGTTATCTACACTGGATGTCCCTAATTTTGAATTGATAGAGTAGAGGGAAGACAGCTAGTCAATTCTTGGGCTACTCTTGTGAGACCAAATAGTGGGATCTCCGGTGAGTCAGCGGTAACTTTAAGGACTTACAATTCTAAAATACGGGGGTTCGATTTCCACCTATTGACAGAGTGTACATAGATCATTGCGTTGCTTTTCACTAAAAAAGACAACAACAATGAATAGTGAACTTTCTCCGTCACCATTATAACGAACCTATGACCTCAAAGAACAGAGCGCGATATTTTTTATTGTGCTAACGGGACGCGAATATTGGACCTGCAAACCAACAGTACTCACGCTCGTCTCACTTATAATTGAAAACCAACAACTTTTTCAGTATGAAAAATGTTGGTGACAGTGCTTAATGCTTCAGTATAATTCAAAATTATAGAATTATGTTTGAAAAATATTATTATTGTAGAATCTAAAGACAATGTTTCTTATGAATGGTTTGAACAAATATTATTATCACTGAACTTTATTAATTAGTAAATATATATTGTATTTGAATAATTAAAGGAAGAAGAAAAAACTCTAACCCAAAAGATTTACAGAGTAAATGAATCACTGAGAACTTTAGCGATAAAGTAAGTATTACTGGCAAAGACATCGTTAAAACCAATCAAACTCGATTACTTTCAAACCAATGAAATCACAGTACACAGTGACCACATTTTGAATTCTAACAATCAGTCTATTTCCCATTAACAACAAGTACCAAATTATCTGCACTGGCTTTCGTTCAGAAGTTTAATCACAATTATTTTCGGCTCACCCTTTTTTTTTTTTTTTTTGGTAGAAGGTCTTTTGGTAAGTAAGTAATGTCTGTTGTATTTCATTTATATATATATATTATTTAAGTAAGCTAAAAAATTTCTAAACAGATTACATCAAATGGAAAGATAGCGTGAGTTTTACACAGCATATAAACCTCAGATAAAATATAACCAGGGTTACAAAGAAATATCCAACACCAGGTTAAAAATAAAACTGCAATTATAAACAAATATCCAACACCAGGTTAAAAATAATAGCAAAAAGTTGAGCTTAGTAAGTAGTACCTTAACATCTTGATATTTATGTCCAATCATCATATTGAGGGCTGGAATACCAACTTCAAGAACTGTTTTGCTGTCTCCGCCAATGATGTATAGTACTTTATTATCTTTCTTATTATTTATTCTTATTGTGAGCAACCACCTTCCTATTTTTGGCTGGTGGTAAAAATGTAAGATGTTGTGGACTTGGGCACCCACATCTGCTCCTTTTCTCTTTGTTAAGCATGTGAGACCGGCGAAATTGGGGTTAACCGGACAGACAATGTACCCCCCCCCCCAAACGCAGTTTGGGTTTTACTTCCGTCAGTACCTCTAAAAACCAGGGCACATTACATAATGACCCATCCTACTATTTCTGCCCCTGTGTTGTATATTTGTTTTGTGGAGGCGTTTTTATTTGTTCGGTTTTTTTTCTTTTATTTATTTATTTACATATTTATTTGATTTTTTTCCCTTCTCTACAAAATTAACTCTAATTATATTTATATATAGTTTGAATGCACAAAACTTTCTCTATGCTTGTATCAAAAATGTCCAGTGAGTTTTATAATAAATTATGTCTTTGGATTAGCAGTAACTAGAAAGGACTAACACGAAATTGCATATAACTTTAATGCTTGATATTTGTTCCGTTAGTTTTGTTTTCGTAATGCTACATTTTAACGTTTCCAGCAATCTTCGTTGAGTCGTTCAAGAAAGTCAGTAGGCAGGAAGAAGGGTGATGATTTGCCAGCCTTGGAATTTTAAATCTTTTGTTACCAAACACTTTAGTCTACGGGTATTTAGCTGTGAGACTTCTTCACCGAGAAATTGAATAACTCATTTAGTTGATGGAATTCGTTCCTTATGAAAATGTCAAGCTCGCTTACATTTCCCAATTTGAAAGATTCTAATGAATAAATTCAGTAGACATAGAACAACTAACATAAACTTATAGCTTTCAAGATGTACCTTTTATTCTACAAAAAAAATCTATATTTTCCCTCCTAAAACAGCTCTTCTTTAGTATACGATATATTCGATATATGAATAAGTGTTATAAAAATATTTAGCCATTCCCTTTGAACAAGTAGTTTCCTGAATGCTTTAAAGCAACAACTTTCTTATCTTAGCTTGTTAAATACGTCTTTTTATGTTCTTCCAATCTCTGCGATTCAAGTATCTCCCGAAAACGTTCACATAAACTTACGGTAAAAAGTGATTCCTACAACGTGCATAAGAAAGAATAGAATAATCTAGAGAAATATTTAGATATGTGAAGGAAGACAATATTAAAAATATGAAGTTTTCTTTTCATAGTAAACTGTAAATATGCAGATACTTTTTCACGTGAAATTTTGATTATTATTACCTTGTAAAAATTCTCGCTTGCTTTTTTCGAATCTTGTTATGAACATATATCTATTAGTTTTTCCTTAAATCTCTAGAACCTAGTTTTTCCAGCTGTTTCAGATATTATCAACGTCTTGGGAATCTTTAGGTCTAATTTCAACCGCGAAATCAGCAAACTTGTAAATCTTTAATTACTGGACATTTGGCGGAAATGGTGGTTGTCCGATTCTTTTAGTGAGATAACTGTTCATTTGTGATACATCTTAAAGTTATTCTTTCATATTGGACATTTTTCAGTATTTTTATTATTTATCTTGGAAGTTCTGAAACTTGCAAAAACATTGGTTGTAGTGAGAAAGTTTAATTTGACAGACATTTTCATTATTTCCGAAATGACCAGAGAAGCCTGGAGTTTTTCACAGCCAGTATTTTTGTACGTTAAATTAGGGAATTGCTCAGTACTTTCATACATTTTTACTTTATTTGATGTAAATTGTATTGTTTTAGAAATTGTGAATTTGGCTATAATACTTGATTTGTGGACCTTCACTTAGGAACGTCCCTGATTGGTCAGCGGTAAGTTTACGGACTTACAACGCTAAAATCCGAGACTCGTTTTCCCACGATAGAGAGTGCAAACAGCCCATTGTGCAACGATGCACAAAGAAAACAACAACAATCTTAGAAACAGTTAATGTGACAAATGTCTTCGTTATTTGAAACTACTACCGGCTGGTAATCTTCACAGCTAGAAGTAGTGAAATGTTAATTTTAGATTGGATATTTAATACGTTAGTAACTTTTAATTTGTTAATTTCACAGATATCTATGCTTTGAAATGTTCAATAACTTAGATGAATGAGAATCTTCACACAATTGGTCTCACGAGCTCTCTATTTGGCGGGGGGGGGGGTTGATAACGAGTGCTTACCAAACGGTTAGCTCGATCTGCAGTGAAAAGAACAAGTGTTTCCTGTCCTGAGCATGTTTTTTAAAGCACGTGAAACATAACTTCTTTCAGGTATATATTTTAGCTATTATAACACCGGCAGGCTCATACTTGAGTAAATGAAAATATTTGTACACGTCTTGTATAACAGTATATTGCTATTAAACAAGTTTTGTCTTCTTCAAGTTTTTATTTATATTTAATTTAAATTATTCAATAGCTTACACTCGCGAAATGTACGTTATTTATTCGAAGTAACTTTGTGATTGAGTGCAAAGAAAAGATCGAATGTAATGCCTATCTATCACTGTTTCTTTATCAATTTACTTTTCTTGAATCTATGCTTTACAATATACAAATCGTTATTCATTCGTGTTAAGTCTGGGAGGTAAAAGATATGCATTATTTAGTATATGTTAAGCCTATTATACGAAAGACTCGTTACCGTGATAAGAGAATTATTGATGTAATGATGCTTACAGAAAGAGCTTACGAAGAATAATTTATTGTAGGCACCTCTGTTAGGGGGGGGGAGAAATTGGTGGAACAAAATGGGGTATGTAAAGATGTAAATCTACTGTAAAAATGTAAATATACTGTAAAAATGTAAATCTACTCCAAGTAGTCTTATTTTACTTTCCTTATTTATACCATAGCTATAAAGCTGGTTGTAGTTATTGGAGAAAATGTTGCAATATACCTCCCACATTTTCAAATCGTTGAGTGAACACTGTTAAGGTGATATTGATAGATTTAAACCTAAAAACGTTAACTTTGAATTATAGTCTACGCAATATTTAGCTGTCTTTTGATTATTCCAAATGGTGTTGGATTTGTTCATTTTAAACTTTAACACATCGAGATTTGGGTGGGAGTCTCCTCCTAAGCTCTAGAGGGAGTACTCCTTTGTTAAACACAACGAACAATGAAAATACTGTTAGTATTTTTTGTCAAAATTCAACAAGAATATAACCATATGGAAGTTTGTTTTTTTGTCGAATAACTTATTTCGCTAGTCAGTATTGTTTTTACACGTACCTTATCGTCTAAATACATGTGTTAGTCACACAGAAAATGAAATCATTTTTTCATATTACTGGGATATTTACTTTTAACGAAGAAAATTACGAATAAACAAATATTTTGTATGAGTTATATACATTTATTGTGTAAACGAATGTAAAAAAAAAAATAAACATCACTGAAAAACATATTTGTTATTCCTGACCTTAAGGATCATGCAGACAGAGAGTGGAAGTTCGCACGTTCCAAGCTGTGGATGGGTTACTTCGACGAAGGATCCACTCTTCCACCTCCGTTCAATATCATAATCAGTCCAAAGTCTATCTTATACTTTATACGAGGACTTAAACATCTCTGTGTGACCATGTTCGGTAAGGCTTCCTTGAGGCGCCAGTCTACTCGTAATACTAAAGCAGGTATCAAGGTAAACATCTTCAACTTTTTTTCTTCTTTTTTTTTGAGTACTTTTTTCTGTGATGATTCCTTTCTAAGCCTTAAATAACGTTTTCAGCTATTGGTTTAATGTAGACTGCTTTTTTGTGAAACAAGTAATGTATGCCAAATATGGATTCCTTCAAAATGCAACATTTTGTCTCAAATAAGACTTGATTTACTTGAGCGTGAAAATACAACATGAGAAAAGCACTGTCCACGTTTACTTTTAGGAATTACTTGTGGAAGGCACACAGTTCAATGTGATATCTAAAGAGTTCTTCATTTAATTAAAAATAGTCAATTATTTTATCAATATGAAAAGTGTATTTGGGTATTATTGTTACTAAAAATTAATAATGTCTAATTAGTAAATAGTTTATAGTTAATTTAAATGAAGATATTCTCCCTGTAGTATTTGTATAGTACTTATAAGGGTTAGTTTTAGTTTTGTATTTTACAGTCATTTTATTACATCCAATATAATATATCAGGGGCATTACAGTCATGCTTATTTTATTACGTCCAATATAATATATCATGGGCATTACAGTCATACTTATTTTATTACGTCCAATATAATATATCATGGGCATTACAGTCATGCTTATTTTATTACGTCCAATATAATATATCATGGGCATTACAGTCATGCTTATTTTATTACGTCCAATATAATATATCATGGGCATTACAGTCATGCTTATTTTATTACGTCCAATATAACATATCATGAGCATTACAGTCATAGTTATTTTATTACGTCCAATATCATGGGCAGAAACAATATTTAGCGTTGAAGCTCTGATTAAATTAGAGTTCATTAAATCTAAATGTATCATTGTATCTAAATGTTTCAATTTCTTAATTTTTTTTTGTGATCGAAACAAAATCGCTGATTTAATAACTGAATATTTGTTGTAACATAGCTATTCCACTTGTCAGGTTACAGAAATTCAGTAATAATTTAAAACAATCAAATCAAGCCTTGTAATCCAGCCTAAGATTAGTTTACAAATAAACCTCTTTTTCAATTCTTATTGACACTTCATTCTCTTGTTTGGAGTTATCGTCCCTTAACAACACTAAGATTAGTTCTGTTTAGTTAGAATATCATATGAAAACCAAATCTACACAGCAAAACAGTTAGTGAATTCTCTGAAAATGTTAGTAACGTTTGTTTCCCGGTTACAAAACGGTGGGCGTTTCTGGTGATTAGATATAGGTGTATTTCTTCTAAAGAAAAATATCAATGAAAAGTGAATGGTTTTTAAGGTCTTAATTAGTTTATGTAGTTGATTGAAACACTTGTTTGTATTCTCGTTCTTTCAAAATGTATACGCTGTGTCTGTGGTTAGAAAATATAGCGTAACAAACAAGTCTACTAAATTTTCATACACACTTATCTAATCCAGTCCTTCCTTAGAAACCTACTTCACATTGTTCAGTTTATCTTGTATTTTTTTTCAACATCATCTATGATAACAATCCTGCTGATTCTCTGTAAAAAAGACAACCAATTAAATATTCATTTTTTGTATTTTTTATATTCTAAGTCACTTTGTTAATTATCTTTCAGCACGAACACCCAACAGTTGCCTACATCGGCGATCCTGACGAGAAGAAGGCAAGTTCTTTCATGATGTCGTACTAACTGTTCTATTTAACAGGATTCAAAACGTCACGTTTAAAGTAGGATTACTTCTATATTGAGATGTGTTTTTCATCTAACTAGAAAAGAAAGTTTCATTCACGAGTTTCTTCCCAGGTGACATTTTTACTGGGATTCCAAAATTTTTACTGGGGTTCCTTACAGGATTCCCAAATTTTTACGCGACATTTTTACTGGGATTTCAAAATTTTTATGTGACATTATTACTTGGGTCCCTTATAGGATTCCAAAATTTTTACGCAACTAAAGTAACCACCTGTTTTTGTCGACATTAGAAATAAATGTTAAATGTGCGATAAGATGTTATTTTTTTACACAACAAACTACAACCATACACAATAGAGAATCGTTATAAATTTTAATTCAATGAGAACTAAAAGAATAATTTGCTCTTTCAAATTTCACATACCGATCTCGAATTCGCTATGTAATATGTTAGACTCCCGTCATTTTGGCATTGCTTGCTTCTCACCTGAAGATTCTAGTTTCATAAATGTCAGAAAGTAAGAGTAATGATATCTTCTCACTGGCTCAACGCATATTTTCCAAGTTGACATTAGCAGCAGTTCTAAGCAATTCTGTGGTTCTGAACAATATTTGTTTACTAGGAGAGAAACTACGGTGTATTAAAAGAATTGTAAGGTTTCACTAACTCTCACCAGAAGCTGGGTAAAAGCAGAATTGTACCCGCAGACTCTTAAAAGGCATTATCTTTAAAAAGAAGAATATTTGAAAATAGAGATAAAATAATTAAGGCTAACAATAAGATACGCCTATCTAATTTAATTAACTAATCGAGTTTACCAATCATATTGCCAATCTGCCACACATTTTTTTACTTAGTCAAAAACATTGTCCGTTACTCTTGCAATTGACATCAAATACAATTCCAAAAATAAAAGTAATAAAAACATTTTGTAAATGCAAAATGTTGTTGGGATGGCAGTGCCAAAAAGAATGTAAACAAGAATATAGTGATGATACAACTATACATAGATCATTCCTACATGACTTTCAATATTAAACTTTAATGTTACACTGTAAAATGCACGAGCACAAAATGGATACGAGGTCGGTCAACTCGACCGACCTCGTAGCGAGAGCCTGTAGTAGTCTGTGATAATAAAAAAAGATTTCTTGACTCAATTTGATTTTTCTTGTACCTAAGTCTTAGGCTCTTAGTTACAGTACACTGATGCCTACCCTGACATGACCATGATATTATGATAAACAAGCTGCATACCAATAGTCAGAAATATATAACTTTCAACTGCAGTAATATTAAATTCAAGTATGCATTTTACAGTGTAGCATTAGATTTTAATATTGAAAGTAATGTAGGGATGATCTATGTATAGCTGTATCATCCCTATATTCATGTTTGCATTCTTTTTTGCACTGTTATTCCTACATCATTTTACATTTACAAAATGTTTTTATTACTTATTTTGTGATGTTTTTTCCCCTGACTGAAAGTTAGTGTATTCTATGAATGTGTATAATAAAATTTAATATTATGTGTATTGAGTTTTTAACTCTTTCACTTCATACATAATATAGGGAGTTGGCTCTATAAAGACACCGAACGTGTCGTGTACAAAGCATTGAGTAGTCGACATGTCACAGTCATCTAATGTTCGTCTATTATTGGCTGGTAATTCTTGTTTCACCCTGTACTTAAGATTTCTAAAGGAACGCCAAATTTCTGTAAGAAAGCTAACTTCAAAGAGTAATGATAACATTATTCACACTAGATTTTTTTAACTTCTATAATTTATTACGACTAAGCGTTGTCACTGTGCACTGCCAAGAAACGCACAGTGTGGATTTAGGTTTAAACTGACGTTAGTGAGTTGTAGAGTTATCTCGACTGAAACAACAAGAAGAAAAATGAACAATTTGATGGGTTGGTCATTTTGTGGTTTTGTATTTTAGCGATGGTTTTTCTCTTTTGCATAAGCAATTCTCAATCGATTGTTAGTTAAAACTATTACCACCAGGGATATTATAATTTAGAAAAACAATCTGGCGAAATAGCCTAGTTAATGGTAGATATCAAATGTTTTTCACTGTAAAAACATTTTGGTTTAGTTAAAAGGTATGCAGATATAACGTAATAACTGGATATAGTTTTTAAGTACCTCAAAGGTATAAATTATCGATACTGAAACTTCTCTGCATTTACAAAGTATTTTTCTCCATCTTGTATCTTTTATAATTTAGTTCCTGGCTTGTTTACTGTGTCTTGTAATTGTATCTGGAAACAATTATTCACCCAGAAACTGAAAAGAATTTTGTTGTATTCTAAAATCTGAAAGTCGTACGACCTGTTTCGGATTGATTCATTTTTCTAAACTTCCAGAAAGTGTTTTCGCATAGAGGTATTACGGTACACGTAAAAGTTAATTCCTCACAATGTTTCGAGCGAAAGTTCTCTATCTGGTGAAAATAGCCAACCAAAACATCATAGAAGCAGTTTAAATTACTTTTGATTAGATACATTTGAAATAGAGAGAATTTGTCAAAAATGCAATGTTTAATAAACCATTTGTTTGCATTATTTTAATAATTCGCCCTTTGAAACACCATCATACCATTTAGATTTTTTTATGTTTCGAAAACGAATAAAATATTTTGAAACTAATTTTAATAGTCCTTTTTACATCTTAATGGATGCATTTCGATTTAGATCAAAGGGAAATTGGTGTCTGCTGTTATAAAGAAAAGTATCAGCTTAAACCTACGTTGTGGATATTTAGGATATTTTTTAAGGTTGTTATTAATGAGCAAAAGTAACGATGAAAAGCAAACATATTGTTTAATGTTTACTACTTCAGAAACTTGGACAGTATTGTACTGTACAACCTATGTACCGCAAAGACACTAAGCTTAAGAGCTCTAACCTTCAAAGTATTGTTCTTTCGATATATTTTTCTTGCAACAACAGTGTATGTTTATGACATGCTGACACTTTCCTTACTTTATCGCTACAACCTCGTACCGTTTTTAATAGTACTCCAAGGACTCACCAAGCCTAAACGGTTCTACTATGCAAGTAGTCCCGACTTCTAACGGAAGTAGCGTCAACTACCAGGTAAAAACACATCACTTAAAGCTCTAGTTCGCTCTTTAAACCTATTGAGCTTTTGAAATGCTTATGCTGTTGCAAAATAATCTTTAAGATTAACAGATCTCTTTTAGCTTATATCAGCTTATTTCACTTGCACCTATTTTAACTTATGTTGCAAAATATTTATGCTTATTTTCGCTTTACTTTATGCTCTTAAATTACTTACAATATTTTCGCTTTGCACTTTATTTTTCTTTGGCGCAGAAAAAATATATATATATTCATCTGCTTGCTTTAAGCTTCTTCCAAGTTTTCTTCTGAGAAACCTTAATAGGTTGTTGTTTTGCATTTAATTTGGCTTTATGTGGCACTTTGCGTTTTATAATGTCATATGTCGCTTTGAAACACTTAGTTTATTGTAATGTTCAATCGCCTTTGCCAAATTCAATTTAATATGTATATATAGATATATTTGACAGTTGAAAGACGATGCACCTTGTTGTGTGTCAAATGTTATTGTCGTATATTAAATTTCAGAATATTTTTAAGAACGGCATTTTTTGGTACAACTTAATATTACCGATTAAACGTGTGTATTTTACTCTCAACATTTATAATTGGAAATGAAACCAAAGGCCCTATATCATTAAGATGGCCCACTCTAAGTGCCATCTTGCGGCTGGTTTGATAGCACTTACCAAGCCACCTATCTAACCCCAAATTTTATGAAATCATTGGCAGTTGATAGCTCACAATTACGATTTTTTCTTCTTCTGTTTAATATGAGATAAAATCGATGGGTCAAATAATATAAATTTTGTTGACTGTTCACAATTCAATATGTATTAGATCAAACAAGTGGCCACATTTAATGGTAAATGTTTTAAGAAGTTTGTGAGTCGTAACATGAATTCCTGTGATATCATGACAATTAAACAAAATACGGGAAGATGTGTTATATTCAGGTGCGTGAAAGCTATTGCAGTAAACACATGAAAAACCACCTCAAGTATCATTACATAGTACACTGAATATTACTACTGAAGTTTGTAAACTAAGCATGCATATCAATATGTTTGTTAATCATTAAAATCATCATTAAAACTGAAAAATACAAACAAGTGTTTCAAAGAAGAAATTGTTGATATACAGGATCAACTACACAGTAAAGCATTTAACATTATACAAAGCTGATAATTCCCGTTTATAATACGCTTGACAAATGCTTTAACTTCAACATCTTACAATCCCGTTTCTTACCTTTTCAGAATTTAAAAAAATTGAATTATTTTAGGGCGTGGTGCAACCTGACTTTTGTGTAGAGAGTGGCTAAAGTGACAACGTATTTGAGACGTTTTTCTCCTCTACATTTAGCTAGTTTTTGTTTTTGTTTTTTTATACACTCCTCGCAAGCATGAAAAAGCAGTTATGCTTGGACACTGTTCTGGGTATAAAACAACAGAGAAGACCACTATGAAAGTTATATTCTCTGTATCTGTATATAACGCACGTGGTATTGTGTTAGAGATGAACTATTATGTTGTCTCATAATAAACAATTTTCCTCGTTGCTGAGAAAGTGGAATGCGTTTAAAACGAAGAAACTTATTGCAGTCGATAATTAGTATGTTTATTAAACACATAAACCGAAACTAGTAATGAATTCATTCATTTTGTTGGCCTTTGTTCATATAAATAGTAATCCAATTATATATCCATACAAGCACAACCTGCTGCTTCTTATCAAACCTGCCGCTTGAAGCGCTGCGGTTAGAGTATTAGACTTTTCGGGAAGAGTGAAACGTCTTAACGATATAAGGTCTTTGACGTAATATGCAAACTGTTCAAGTAATTAATATAATGAGTTTATCATGACTATTCAATCTTCTTTCATGCATTACATCCAAAATATGAAGAGATATGACAAGATAAGTAAAAGATATAACGTTTTAAAATTTAATTAAATGTAATAAAAAGGCTACATTTTCAGACAAAATCAACTAACCAACTTTCTTGGTGTGCATCCACGAACATTAGGTGTGTATATGTTATTTATTCTATTCTCTGGTTAACAGTTATTTAACACAAAATTGTATGTCGTTTCAGCCTTAAAGTCTTTGTAGTAAGATAATACGCATTCTAAAGTTATTCAGAAGACTTGAAATACATTTGTAGTTCTTTATAACATCCATAATGTCAGTACCAAGATGATGTGTCAGTTTACAGCTTTAGTGTCATGCTGTTCTGGCTTCACTATTGTAATGATCTGATATGATAGATTTAACATCATTGTGTTCTAACATTTGTCAACTTTAATACGATCGCAGTCTTACATTTGATTGCTTTATTATCGTGATAATCTAACATTTAATGGTTTTACAAATATTGTAATATATTTGTGATCATTTTAGTATCATGATGTATGAGCTTTGGTACTATCGTGATTTAACGTTTGACAACTTTAGACCTATGATGTTATAGCTTTTGTATTGAGACAACTTGATTTTTGATCGTATTTGTTTTTCGGATATTTCATATGATTAACTGAAAATAAATTGTCACCTGATAACTCTCTTTTCATAATTGCCCCCTAGTGGCACAGCGGTATGTCTGCGGACTTACAACGCTAGAATCCGGGTTTCGATACCCGTAGTGGACAGAGCACAGATAGCCCTTTGTGTAGCTTTGTGCTTAATTACAAACAAACAAACTTTTCATAATGGGCTAGCTTTTAATAGCTTAAGATCCAGGATATTTTGACTTTTTTGGTGGTTTTAGAATCATGATGATCTAGCTTTCAAAAACTTTTCTATTGTGAACATCTGACTAATAAGCTTAAGCACCATATTGCTTGACTTCTGGTAGTATTTGTATCATTTATATGATTTTAATAATTTTAACACCAGGATGACCTGACTTTTCATAGCTTAAATGTCTCAATGCTCTAACTTTCAGTAATTTAGTACCTTGATTACCTGGCTTACTAAATTTAATACCACGATGACCTGACTTTTCATAGTTTAGATGCCCCAATTACTCAACTTTTAGTAATTTAGTACCTTGATTACCTGGCTTACCTTTAATACCATGATGTTCTGAACTTTCATATTTTAGATGCCCCAATAATTTAACTTTTAGTAATTTAGTACCTTGATTACCTGTTTTAATACCATGATGTTCTGAACTTTCATATTTTAGATGCCCCAATAATTTAACTTTTAGTAATTTAGTACCTTGATTACCTGACTTACCTGTTTTCATGCCATGATGTTCTGACGTTTCTTAGTTTAAATGTCTGAATGATTCAACTTTTAGTAACTTTAGTACCTTGATTACCTGGCTTATCAGTTTTAATGCCATGATGATCTGAGGTTTGACAAAATGATTTGATTTTAGTGTTATAAAGGTCTGAGTTTTTGTTCTCTACCATTCACAGATTTTGTGTTCTCGAAACAGTAGTGTCCTCTGTAAGAGAGATAGTAAACTTATTTGGAAAAACCATCAGAGTAGTGATCACAGTTTTTATATGAAAATTGCAATATTCTAAATATGAAGTTAAGACAATCTTGTAACTAAACAAGTCGATTTGAAAAAAAATCAAATAAAAAAGTAATTTTTGGTCTTTTTTTGAATTTACAACTAATTATTGAATGATCAAGAAAGACCAGGAGTTGAAACGTTTGTTTGCTTAGTTAAGTACTTAAAATTTCATATCATTTAAATAATTCTATAAACTGTGTTAATAACAAATTAAGTTTAATATAACTTTGAAGATGGTTTAAATGGGATGTCAAAATTCTAATTTTTTTCTCTTTTCTAATCTTAAATCATTTATTTCTTCAGTGTTTGTTTTCTTTTTCAGGGAAATAGGGTTATAGCTCTTTTTGTCATCTACTTCTTTAAGTGAATGGGGTGTGCTACAATTAGTTAACGTTGAAAAACTTAGTTATAAAGAAAATATATTTATTTGGCATGTTAGAATGAATAGCAGAACCAGCAAAATGAAATGACAAGTTTGAACGCTGTAAGCTTATATTTGTTGTGTTGGTTTTTTCCTCACCTATATATATAAAATATTCTTACTATAATGGACATAGCGTGTATGTCAGTATCTATGTGAGTAAACATCTATGTATATTTGTATACGCATCTATATTGAATAACACCACAAAAAAAATCCATACAAAATTTCACCCTTTGGGTATTCAAGATTCAGACAATTAGAAAAAATAGCTGTGGTATGTGCAACAACCATTTCTTTATAATAGAACACTATTTTAAATAAAAGTACTCCCCTCACAACAATAACACGACTTTCACTAGGACTATACGTGAGGGTTTGATTATATCTTTATTGATGTAATTTTTAAACGTAGTACTGAGAAACTGGAGATCTTAAAAAAAACGATTATTTTTTCAATAAACTGTATCAGTTTTAATATATAAAAATATTACAGTTTATATCAGTAAAATTTATGAAACTTTTGAGCTCTGTACATTGAATCATTTTGATGTAATGAGTTGCATATTACTAAAGAACACAATTCGAACACTTTTCCCGTGCAGTACTTCCCAGAAAAAAAAAAATCCTTTTTAGGAAATATTCACGTTTACTAAATTATATTCAGTGAGGTATGAATACTACGATTAGTAATTACCAGGACAAACAGCCGCTCTATGGGCGGCGTTTCTGTTAGTAAGTATAATTTTCGCAATGTTTCATTCTGTTTTACAACTCGGAACCACTTTATTAGTTACTAATTTGATGTGCTAACAAAAATGTTAAGCTCCACAAATAAAGCAACTGTTTTTTTAGATTTTCAAGACATTGAAATGTTTCCTTTTAAATATGTGGCGTCCCAACACAGGAATAACTTCACAGTTTCGTTGTAACTTCGTATCGTATGAAAGCTTTCAAGTGGATTTGAACAACTGTTTACCCGACAAGTGGAGTAACAGATTCAAGGAATTTGATTTCCATTCAACTAACTCAAATAAAATAATCTTCATTGCACCCAAACATAATTTCTATGTATCAAATAAAAATGTATATACCTTTAAGGTTTTTCGTATAATACTAAAAACTCGGTCTGTGTTTGGCAATCTTAACAATTCTAACCTTAATGCAGGTCGAACCTTTAAATTCTCAAGATATTTTTTTTAGTTGATGACAGATGTATTTTCCTCAAAACTGAACAAAGTTTATTTTTGTTGGGTTTTGTATTTTGATACATCTTGCTGTATTTCTTCTCTGGTAGGAGGTGATGAAACGGTTAGTAAGTCGTTATATTCACCAGACCAAGAAGCAACTTCGTCAGGATGGAGTGAACGAGGATGATTTACTAGAGATTAAACAAGACATCTCAAGTTTACGGTGAGTTTATAAATGATTAAATTGATGTGAGATCAGACAAGGTTAATTGTAACTCGTGCGAAATGACTCAGGAACAGCAAACTTCTAACAGGTTAAACCGGCAAAGGTGGGTATATGAAACTGAAAGGGGTAGAGTTGTTTACAATTCCAGTTTAATTAAACAATTAAAAAGTTACAGAGCTACCTAAGTTACTACTATTCTGTTTCAACAAGCTGCTAAAAAAATAAAATAATAAACTTCTATTTTATTACAAATTCAAATAACAAACACGACTAAAATAGCATGCGGTCATTGATGGAACTATGATAAGCTTTGTCTAGTTTAATATAGCATAGATTAGTATGTATATTAACAATACTCGTCTAAGTTAACTGTAGTTGAAATATTCTATGAAAGTTAACCTGTTTGGCATTAGAGAATCCTCTTAGTTTATATAAGACTTATACAAGTGTATTAAAACAACACAGGCTCCTATAGTTTACATTCACTGCACAAAACAATCTAAGAATAATCTCTAATTTGTAATATTATAGTTCAGACAAGGTAAAAACCCTCTTATTAAGTAATTTAAATCACACTTCTCAGATCATTTTTATGCATGTCAGGTCAATCATGGGACCTCAAAGACAATTAGTTGATTATTTAGCATATCTCTCTCTATACATATATATATACGTACAGATAAATAGTGAGGAAGTCATGAGTCATAGCTAAACCTTAAAGGTTGCTGAGGTTGTGGCGATCGGTTACCTACCTATAGTTGTCATGGTTAGTAGCCTATATAATCACTGAAATATAATTATTAACTAGTTGCTAATATTTCATCTGTTTATATGTTGTCTTCTTCAGGAAAATCCTGAAAAGGACTATTTTTTGTGGCGGTATTACTCGGGATTCCATCCTAGGTCTTCTGAACAGAAAGGCTGTTGTGTTACTTACTCGTCTGGGGTCTTCACAAATAAATTAATTTATATGAATGCTTTCAAGAGGAACATCCAGGTATAGCTGAATGATAACACATTCGGCCAGCCTAGCAAAGTCAGAAAAACCTGGGGCAACAAAGATCTAAATCCATTTCTACCGATTTTTGATTTGCAAGCATTGGCTGAAATACCAGTAATTTGCATTTCAGATCACATAAGGTACTTGCGTTGCATAAAAATGAACTGGGAGACGTAATTAACATTATTTGATAACACCGATAGTGGTTTTGTGTTATCCTAGGTAAATTATTAAATTCAAATTATCCTTTAGTTCTTCTGTGCATTAAATATTGATGAAAATCAAATCATGCCACAGTTGTATGCAACGAGACCCCTGGTGACTCAATGATAAGCTTGAGGATTTATGACGCTTTAACTGGAGATTCGATAAATGCAAATAGCCCATTATGTAGCTTTACGCTTAAAAACAAAGTATGGGACAATTTCGCCCATTATAATGTGAAGATGAAGAGATTTATATTTTAAAAAAAGTAAAAACAGTGACATTGACAAAAAGTTTATAAATTATTTTGATTACAATTTTCTGCTTAAATTACTTACTAGCTCTCAGCTCTACTGTCAAATATTTTGATGGATAGTCTTTATATATTCTATACAGCAAATTAACAAAGCGAGTTCATGAAGCGACAGCTGCTAGCAAAATAATATAATACGACATTGATTTATTAATAAAACATTTTTGTCTTTATTTATTCACATGAATATTTTTTAAGAATGTATGCAAACCAAAGTGCAAACAGCTGTTTATGTTTGAGAAATACACACGAACAAGAAACTGCTAACCGGGGATACAACACGGTATAGTAGTTCTCCAAAGACTCATAAGATTAATGTTTCACCTAATTACCAAAACACCCCTGTTTGAGTAATAGCATACAGAGAACCAGTTACAGAAAGAAAATGTTTTGTAATTTGTTGTTCCTCAGTGGCTCATCGGTAAGTTTGCAGACTTATGACGCTAAAAAAACATATTTCGATAGTCGTGGTGTCAGAGCACAGATAGCCCATTCTGTAGCTTTCATATTCGATGACGAGGAACCCACTTTGAGACTAATAATGGCTGGAGACGGCTTGAATGGGTAATGAAGAAAAACTTTAATAAAAGTTTAACATTTGCTGTTATGTTA